AGTAGGGCTTTTATTGCTTACTTTTACATCACACACAAGAACAGTCAACATGTCTCATTTGGCCACAGTTTCCCAGAGTCTTTAGGTATGACAGGTTTGTTTTTCGTGCTTCAGTTTTGGGTTTCATTGCCTAAAGCTCAGTAAAGTTCAACGCACCTACAGTAAAGCACAAACATTTGAAGAGCCCCACTCCAAAAGACATGTTTTCCTACAATAATAAATACATGAAAAAAGACCAGATAAAACTTGTTTGTGGAAAAGCAATTCAGACATTTTTGTTGCAGTTTTAAACAATGCCTTTGTATTGTACCCAAAAGCGTAGGTACTTCTGACTGGGCTTAATCAATATACCTTATAAATCAGCACAGTTGTACACATGTTTTGGAATAAAACTCTTCATCTGCCAGTAGGACACGGTGAAACAGCAGCAATGGTCAAACACTTTAATATCTTCTTTTACATTTTGGTTTAACATAACCACCATTGACCTGAGCAAAGGGGAAACATTGAAAAGCAATAAACAGCATCTTACTTGGCTTTGGTCCCCAAAAAAGGTGGCACTTTATTTTGTTCTGTCACAGATACAAAGCGGTATTAAAGCACAGTAGAAATAAAGATGGGATTAACTGGGATAAAACAGGGACATTGTTGCATTTTTACATTTCTTTCACATTGGATTTAAAAAACCTGAGTCCATTTTAGACAAAAGAGCAAGACATTACAAAACAGCAGGGTATTTGTCCAAATGAAACCCACATAAATTCTTAAAAGTGTATTCAGACTCAACGAGAAAGGAGAAAAATGCCAGAGGATGTGTTCACTGTGGAATACAGGTTACAAATATTCAGTATAAATGTCTGTCAAGGTATTATGAGAGCCTGCAGCATGGATTTGATCCCTGATATGTTTAAAGCAAATAAGGGTGAAAACCTTTGCTACCGTTTTTTACAACAATGCTACAGAAGAACTCATACCTGAAGTCACATACCCTCTTTAGAAAGTAAAAGGCTGTGTCGAAATCGCATACCAATACAGGATATACACTAAACTTGGCATGATAAATGATGTGCAAAGGAATTTCCAGCGAAAACTAATTTAGCAGGAATTTCGAAGTATGAGACTATAGCTTACTGGACATACTGTACTCAACTACCCAAAATGCTGCTTTTTAGACCGTCCAATGGGAAATAGCCCAGCAGATTCAAATAATTGAACGTCATGTAAGATAATTACGATTGATGAAAAGAAAATGCTAGAACAATACATAATGTACTTTAGATGTAAATATGCCTAAAATAAACTGGGTAAAAAATGAAATGGGGGTAGTTATGTTTGATTTTAATTCAACGGTCACACGTACCTTTAACTTTCAAATACAGTCATGTTAAGCAGATAAATTGCATTGAGTTTACCTGCTGCTGGAAATGGCATTCCTAATCTTTGATCTAGTAGAAAGTATGCAGAACATAAAGATCGAGTGTAGTATGCAAAACATTAGTATGTGATTTCGAACACAGCCATAGGGTGCCTATAGGTCGTTCTGCCAGAGGACATTTTGCAACGTCACATGAGAACAAGCACAGGTGTAAATGCTCAAAACAGCTGAATTCAATTAGCCTGCTTCGGTTTCTGACTGCTGGTGTGGTTTACATGCTCACAGAGACACTTGAATACAACAAAGCCATTGTTAATGTAACTACTTACACCTGTGCTGAGAGAAAGACCTATAAACGTTTGCTAACAAGCTAGCTTATTGCTACTCGAGTGGAGGTTGACGTGCAGACAGAAAAGTGTGATTTTCCAAAGCTGAAGAACTCATTCTTACTTACAGAGAAGCTTGAGAAAAATAACAGAAAGAACTGCAATGGTAAGTTTGCTGTCTCACACACCACACACACTACATACAAACACACCATGCTAGAGCACATGTTGCTAGCTAAAAAACGAACTGCTAGCTAACACCAGTAGAGCTAGTACTGTTTGTTGTTGAAAAACATGAACCATAAAGACAGTCAAATTCATATAAATAAAGCGAGGTGGCCATTTGCTCAATCCTGAACACTGTCAAGTAACCTTTGTGGAAAAAACCAAACACAACATTAGCACAGTTAGCAACGTGTAAATCCCTTTAATCAGCAATACTGACTTGAATCTCTTCTTGCAGATAAACATGTACAATTAGAAAAATAGCTCTTAACAAGTTCATGATAATAGAAAATATTTGTTCCCCAATACACTATTAGGGTTTAAATATCCACAGGAATGTTAACACAACACCTTTTAAGAGGTTTGTTTAGTAAAGTTGTGAGTATCTTAACCCTGTAGCACACACAAGCACACAGTGCTAGCCAGACCTACTGTATGACTGACTTAATCAGCCGTTACTTTAAAGCATGAGAGCGTCAGAAAACCAGAAAATAAACTGACAGACAGACAGGAATTATGGAGGACCTGTTCCTGAGGCCAACACGGTTGAAATTACAGTACAGCCCTTGAGAAAAGAGCTTTTCAAGTAAGAGAGCTTCGAGACAACAATGAAGAAAATGTTGTGGTTTAAGCTTCCTGGGAAAGGCATCCAAAGGAGAAGAAAGCTCGTTATATTCTCCCAACCCAGTCTCACGGCATTTCGTGTTATAGTCACGAAATGTATTTAATCTATTGATTCGTGTTCACCAACATGGTTTTTGCATTTTTTTCGTGTCACACAGAACGATAAAAGCAATGTATTTCTATTGGTAGTATGTTTCGTGCCTGCACCACGTCTTTTTGTCCGGTCGGGTCTTGGAATACCAGAAGTTGTGTGGTTCATAAAAACATTTTCTTACTCAATATCTTACCCTAAGCCTAACCCTAACCCTTTTATTTTAAATTGTATAATGTCGGAGTTTTGTTGCCGTCCGCAAGGAAAATAAATGGGGCTCAGAGCCTCAGAATACTGAAATCTGTATTTAAAAAAAAAACTGTTTCCTTCTAATTTGTTATTATTTGGTGCAGGCACGAAACATACTACCAACAGAAATACATTGCTTTTAAAAAATGCGAAAATCGTGTTGGTGAACACGAATCAATAGATTAATTTCGTGACTATAACACGAAATGCCGTGAGACTGGGTTGTAACTCCTCTGTTTTAACGGCAAACACTCAGTACATTTTTGTTGTATTTTTGTATTTCTCAACTCTCACTCCAAAGGTTTCAGAAATGCTGTTCTGTGGTGGACTGTGACACTAGCAAGGCTCCAATCTGTCTCATGAGAAATACGACTACATCCCTTTTAACCATATTTGTTATTTTGAACACCTTTCAACCACTGTCAGTAGCTTTTGGGCTACACAGTACCATGCTTGTATCATGCTTTCAGTTTAAAGAAACAATATCAGTTTCTGTTTCTTGCCCATTGAAAAAAGGGAATAAAAAACCCCCTCATATAAATATAGGCTAAGTACCAAATGTGACAAAGTTTGCCACAAATACTCAAAATATTCAACTCGAAATATATATTTTTTTCATATATTCTTTTATAAAACTTATGATCTTAAAAATGTTTATAGGATACAATTTGTATCAACAAAGAGAAGTGTCATCTGGCTAATAGATATTAAGATAATCAGGCAAAAGTTAGTTTAGTTCTCCAAACAGTTCTTCAGACATTGAGATAATCCCATTGGTTGACATGGTAATGAAATAGTAGTAATACAAATATCTGTTATTATATAAATAATACTAATGATCTCTTCCGATTCTTTAAAAAAAAAATGTAGATTACATAGAGGTTTGTTTAAGTGTGATAATTCAATTAATACATAGAAAAAAGCCATCTAGGCTGCCACATTTCAACAATTCATATTAGCTTACTGCTGCCTTAATAATTGTATTCTGATGACCATGCTGCTTGATGGTCAGAAATTAATTAAAAAATATTATTACCACTTATAATTTTTTATTTAAATTAACCTGATGTATTTACTCAACCATTAAGTTGTAATTTAACCAATGAGATAATCAGAGCCTCTGAGAAAAAGTTTGTGAAACTAAAAACTACGATCTAAGTACAAGTATTTCCAGTGTTGTCATACTCTGAGGGAAGATTTGACTTTTAAGAAGGCGTTTTCCAACTTTCACCTGTCCTGTCTTTTACTGCAAAGCTATGAATGTAACAGAGGGGCACAAGGGAGTTATACCCTATTTGAGCGGCTTAACCTTCCCTTTGGTGTCACCACTGACAAAGGAGACCCTGTGTTTCATGCAAGACAGACATTCACACACATTAAAGGTAATAAATTAACACGTATTTTAAATTAAAATCATAAAAATACCAACAATCTTCTTCTCTCACCTAAACATTTATGGTGACCATGCTCTACTGCCACAGTCATATGATATTGAACTTTGACATGATTTAAAGATAGAAAAGAACAGAAGTTGTGTTGTGTTACAAAACAAAAAAATAAGTCAGCACTGAAAGCTGATAAAGCGTGAAGTCAGCTGACAGGGCTATCCTACCAGAGGAAATAAACTCTTTTTCAAAAGTGAACAACAGCTTGGGGTTTTCGAGTGGAGTTTTTGCTATCTTCTTTTGTGGGTGCCTCTTGAGTTTCACTTCCCTGTGGGGAAAATCCACCAAATATCACCAAATCAACTGATCGGCCACCTGTCAGTATACAGAGAAACCCGTGCTCCGTTTGTTGAGCTAATCTGAGCATTAAATACGGTAGGAAGATATTCAAAATGTGTATTTAAGTTTTACAATTTAGTAGATTCCTTTACACACCCCAAGCTGTCATCATCTCAGTGACTGGAAAACAGAAGTATTTCACCCAGATGGAAAGTACGTATTTGAGCTATACCCTGATATGATTGCCGAAAAGAAAAGCTGCGAGAACACAGCAATAACAAAAAAGTGCAAAAAAACATAATAATTTCAAAATATGTAAATAACTTAAAATATAACAAATTAATTAATTTAAAATTGACAACACTGTCACCCTTTATGACACATTTAAAGCCTCCCTAAGCACCCCAATTTCCCTTGCTCAAACAATAAAATGAAACCCCGACTTTACCTGATCTTAAGTGCTGAAATAGCGGACATATTATAGAAAAATATGGCAATTTGGGGTTCTCCCTTTACAAAAAATACCATTTAGAATTAACAAGACTTCCCTGCAATAAAATAAGCAGTCCATTAACAACTTAAGGAGCTTTGTATCTTGTGCTTTTGGTCTATGTAAGTCCAACCTGACTTGAATAACTAAGATGACCGTAGGTGATAAACCTGCAGAAGACATCTCAGTTAAGATGAAACTGTAACTTCATTCAAGAACCGTGCTGCGATTTCTCCATCAGAATCGCAGCTGCAAGCTCCTGAGCATCCACCATATGAGAATTCCTGGTCATTACCATCCTCACTAAATCTGGTGGGAAGATGCGGCACAAGTTAACAAACACCCTCTCCCTGAGGTCCTGGTATCGACCTAAGGCAGGAGGCTCCTGGTGCTGAGGCACTGAGGGCAGGTGGCTTTTGTGGGTAGTAATGGGTGGAAGGGATAACTGGTGAAGGGGTGGAAGACTTGATGCTGAAAGGCCATGCGGTGACGAATGGGTTTGCCTGCCCCAAGGAGAGTGCCAAGCCTTCTCGTGGACTTCTGGAAGGCTCTGGAAAGCATACGGATCATAACAAGGCTTAGGGGACTGCTGGTAATGTGGGTCCCAGTTCATCTGATGCTGTAGTGGTGGGTTAATCACAGAGTGGTTCCTTCGGGATTGAAGTGGCGACCCCTTGTACATTTGGGAGTCCTGGAGCCCACCATCCTGCCAAACGGAGCCCATCAAATTGCGGCCAAGAGGGGAGTTCTGAACGTGGGAGTGAGCCGTGGACGTTTGGGGTGACCGAGCTGGAAATTCCCCTTGGAAACTGCTCCCAAATGGATGCTGAAAGTGGGGTGGGATGTAGGCTGAAGGGGACTGGAAGGGACGAGGAGATCCATGAGAGGTAACAGAAGCTGGCAGGTCTTCAAGGCCATAATCATGTTTTCTCCGCAGAGCTTGAGGAACAGGATAGCCATGAGGATGCTGGCCAAATCCAGGAGGAACACGGCTTACAGCGTGGGAAAACTGGCCAGAGCAGTGATGATGGTGGGGAGGATGGTGGTGGTGATGGTGGCACTTGTGACCATCGTCTAACACAGGGTCAGGGGAGAACGAGTCTGAGCTTAAGCTTCCTTCACTGCTAAAGTCTGACAGCAGCGATCCACCTCTCAGATCAGCAGGGAAGAAGCGTTCAGGACTCTGTGGCACAACCAGACCGAGGCTGGAGTAGTTCTTTACCATTGAGCTGTAGCTAGGCTCTGGAGACTCACATCTGTGGTAGGTTTCAGCCTGGCTTGGTCCAGAGGCTCCAGAAGCCCTCCCTCCACCAGTAACCCCAGGATGCTCCCAGTGGTCAAAGCTTCCTAATGACGGGGGCCCGCCTGGAGCAGGATACCCAATAAGGCTGCTGCTACAGCTGCTGCTGCTACTGCTGCTTCCCCGACGCCCGTCCACTTTGGACTGGATACGAAACCTGTCCTCCACGAGGTCAGTTAAGGAGCTCTGAAGGCTGGGGTTCGGCTGTTTCTTTGGGGTGCTCTGACTTGGCTCAGCCTCGGCCATTCCTACTGCTACACCATAACTTTGGCTTTTCACTGTCAGGGCATCTTCCAGCAGGCCTCTAGAAGCTACTGATGACATTTTGGCACTGGCACGGAGCTCATCAGCCACGGCACGCTGGGGCTGGCTGCCTCTTTCAGGGTGGTAAAACTTGCACTTGTGGCCATATGTGCATTTCTTACCTAAGGGACAAAGAAAGAAAAACATTCTTTATCAATGCATTGGAATGAAAATATATCATAGCATGTTGGTTAATGGAAAACTTTCGCATCGTTTTAATCTGTGTTAATTCCATGTATTTACAAAATAGAAACAACTGGGGGTAAGAAGGCACAACAAAAAATACAGTTAATATTTTTACCATAAGGACACGGCTGCTTCCTGTGCTCAGGAATAATAGGCCTTTTCCTCAGGAAGTTCTCCAGACTGGGTCCATGTCGTCCCAAAGGGTCATCTGGTGGCATGAACCTGAATACACAATTAATAGATTAAACAGCAATCAAACATATTCCTAAACAATATATTAAATAAATAGATAAAACTGACAAATGGAGTATCTTTTGTACAGAGGGGATTTGATCGGTGAAGCAATAGTGAAGAACAGTCAAAAGATCAAAGGAACATAAATGAGGAAATGAAAGTGTCTTATAAGCAAAAGGGAAGTCCTCAAAACATTTTTTCTGCAAAAACGCACTATGCAAATGGTAGAGGAAAACCGGCTTGGTTTTAACATCTTTTACAAGTGTCTTTTGCACTGACAGAAAATAAGTTGTTTTCCATGTTCTAAAATAGTTTATTCTCTATAGTTTACTCAAACTGAACATCCCTAAGGCATGTGTTTCTTACTTGTCATTTACAAAGGAGTACATCAGTAGACGCTCATCAATGAATTTCTTCCACTCTGGCTTTTCATTGGCCAAGTCACGGTAGTTGTCATTGGAAACAATGATGCCGGCGGACTCGTAGGCCAGTTTGACGATGAAGCGGTCATCGTAGCAAACCACTCTGCGTCCCTGCACACGGCGAGACGGAGTGAAGACCAGAATCTTCTCTTTCTCTAGTCGCCGTAAGACGTCTTGGTCTAAAGAAAGACAGAATTCAGTTCAAAAAGTTGAAGAAAGTTCCATGTTTGGTCATTGAATGAATAAAAACGTTAGCAATTGTTACCTGTGATAAGAGCATCGGGACGGGACTGCTCTTTTCTCCAGGCAGGGACAAAAACAGTTATGTCTCTGTGGCCTTGCTCCAAAAACCAATCGACAGCAAGCTGGATGCCTTGGCAGGAGAATACCTCCTTATTTCCATGACTGAAAGACATGTTTAGGAAACAATCAGTAATGTGAATGCAAACAAAAGACTTGTCCTACTACCAACATTTAAACTGCTGCATTGAAAACTTAATAAGACCTAGTTTTGTCAACTTATACTCTACATCAGCAATATTAATCATTTACTGTGGTTAATAGTTCCTTTGCTTTTTTTTTACTAATATATATTTAGACTGTAAGTAAATATGCACATTGACATTGTATTTTATCTCGTTGCACTGTCATCGCTACTACCTCTGCTTTTACCACTCTTATTTATGTATTGTGTCTATTTTTTACTGCAGTGAGAGTTGCCAAAGAAATTTCGTTGTACTTTGTATGATGACCAAAAAGATATATTCTATTCTATTCTATTCTATTTTACAAGATGGGCTTTTATACGGGCGAGCATTAAGCATCAAGCATTAGTGCATTCACAATGTAAAATATGGCTACGTAGAAGGCAGAAACCTTTTACTTCCAAAATGTGGTCTTCCTCACCTCATGGCTACGTTGCTTCCATCAACAACAACTGGTCTGAGGTTGTCTTTGTCGTCCAGAAGCTGGGACGGACACAGCATCCGACAGGAGTCCAGAGAGGAGTTGTTAGAGGAGGCGAAGGAGCCGTTCAAAGAGGACAAAGGAGAGGAGGAGAGAGACTGGCAGGCAGTGGAACCTCCTTGTTGCTCCATCTCTGTCTTGGTTCCCAGTTTGACCAGCTCACCCAGGATGTCATTGATGAGTGCGTCGGGGCCCAGTTTCCTCAGCACCAGCAGCACCAGCGCCTCAGAGTAGCCTAGCTTGAGAGCAAACTCCACTTTGGCGCGGTATTCTGTGGCGGGGTCAGTGGGAGATGATGTTTCTGGCTGTGGGGGGTCTGCAGGGGTTCGGTTTGGAGACAGGTCCAGCCTGACTGTCTGAAAGACTGAAGAGGACTCTTGGAGGTGTAGATCCTGCTGTTCTTGCTGAGGGTTTGGAGTTTCAGAATTGGACCCATTCTGGAGCCGCTCATCGTCACTGTCAGAGAAGTTACTGCAACTACTGCTGCTGCTGTAGCATGAATTAGTACTAAAGCTTGTGCTACTGTTACTGCTGTTACTCTGGGCACCTTCTGTGACCTGTAAGACCCCTAAATTACCAGCGACCGTCACAGTGCTCAGGCCGACCTGCCGTTCAGCACCTTCCACGTGGAGGTAGTCCAGATCCAGCTCCAGGCTATGCATGTGGCCTGTTCCATCCTCCAGATGGTCCTTCACGCCCATGAAGCTGTCTCATACATCCAGCTCCACGTCCTCCGTGACCTCCTGAGTACCTGACAGACCCCACTGTTACTGCAGGTAGAAAACAGCTCACCGACTTGTTCTGGGAGTGAAGCTTGAGGGAGACACAGGAAGTGAATGGTTAAATTCCTGAGGACTGCATGAAAGGGTAATTCTCAACCCGGACAATTAGTCAATGTTTTTGTGTGACATCAGGTCAGAGGTATCACGTTCTCAGTGGAAAATGCAATTCATTTAAAATCATATGTCCCTTTTGCGATGCTTAATTTGCACAAAAGGTGAATGCAGTAATATGCTCACACTTCAGACCAAAGCACTTTTATCCAACCTTACGAATGTACATAATTTAAAAGATAATTTTTTTCTGTTTGTTGTTCTCTATACTGCATTCCAAATTTCCCCTAGTAGGACAATAAAGATGAAATGAATCCGTACAAAACATGGTCCATTATATAGCAAGACTGCTGCAGCCGGCAGCCATGAAATTGGTTGCAATGCACCCCCAATGCACGCTTAAAGTTGCAAGTCGTATTTTTGCCACTGACAGACTCCGATAGTAATCATCTGACAACACTAGGGAAAGGAGCCCACAGAGAAATAAAAGTCCCTACCTTCAGGATTCTCTCAGATCAAAAGGGCGTCTGGCTCACATTGTGATCAAATCTAAGTCAAAACCTCTGAGTTAAAGATCACCTTTATCTGCCTCTCCTGCGATCTCAAGCAACCTCAGCAATGCGAACAACTCCAGTTACCCTCTTCATCAGAAAAATGGAAATAAGTAGAGCCCATTGTCTTTAAAAGTCTGGCAGCTCCAGCTCCAAATGTACCTATTGAGCTCTCACCACAGAATTGACTAAATACATTAAATACAGATCTTAAATGCAAGTCCTTTGATGATGCATTGAATACAGCAGGCTTTTAAAGGTAAAAGGGGCAAGTTGGAACTTCCCTTACCTGCCCCCCCACTTAGTTACTCATTTGCATTTTAGCAATGAGGAGCATTTTAGTCAAAGCAGCATCAATAAGACTTGAGGCCAGATACCAGAAACCTGAGCCAAACTGCTCTGATGACCTAATATAAGCGTGTTCCTCCCCTCCCATTGTACATGCCATGATGGGCCTGCCATTGTGTATTGCCAATTGCAAAACCCTCATTGGCTGTGAGCTAAAAACACAAAATACTACAGACAGCCACTCCCAGTTATTTATGAATCCAAAAACGTGTGAACAGAGCTTGAGCCTTAGGCTGCAGATTATAAATGTTACACGTGTGAAGGAACCTTTGCCATAACAAACATTCATTAATCCTCATCACTGGCTGACGTGTCAAACCTGCAAAACATTACAGCAACCAAAGCAACAGAGCAGGAGCTGGAAGTCTTGTTATCTAAAGGAACAATTCTCCATTTGCCTGAAAGATACAACTGTATTTTTTGGGGAAATGTTGTCTTATAAGGAATGCATCATATTATAGTAGAAAACCTGACATTTTTCAATTCAACAGCAACACATAACCTGTTACTCAAGAGCAGGGTTTCCCACACATATACTTTACTTGGGCGGGCCGCCCAGGTATATTAACGGCCGCCCAAGTATATTTCGCGACCCATTTAGGTTTTATTTTTATTTTATATATTTTTTATTTATTTTTCGTCCGCGACCACGACGCCATCTGCGATCGATTAACTTGTGGACAATGATCCCTCGCTCTACGCCTCCTGTACCCAGTCCCGGACTGGCCATCGGGAGGACCGGGGGGTTCCCGATGGCCTGGCCTGTTAAGTGGCCTGCCTCGCACAGGGTCACTGGCTGTCTGCATGATGTGGCCTGCCTCACACAGGGTCACTGGCTGTCTGCATGATGTGGCCTGCCGACATGGCCACTGTCATACAGATCATAAATCAAAGCCCTTGATTGGTCTCTGTGTCATTCAAGCTCAGGATAACCTCAGCTCAGGTGAGGTTAAGGACTCTCTGAGTGTTTAGATAGTTAACTTAGTCTAAGTTCTCAGGGAGTCTCAAACGGTTTGGTCACCATTGATGAAAACACATATTTCCATTTGAGGGGGTAGTGATTAGTAAAATATGCATGAATAAAAAAAATAAAAGTTAACTAGGTGAAAAAAGGTAAGATACACTTTTAAAACTTATTGAGAGCTAAAACTAGTCTTTGCTGCTGCCTCAAAGAGGAGCAGGGGGGAGAGGAGGGAGAGGAGGGAGACAGGAGAGGCTGATTCAGGAGCAAAGACACACTCACAACTATAAATGAACTAAAAATAAATAAAGTTTCAGTGTTTTTTCATATTGGAAATGGTATGTTATTGGTTATGGCCATGATTTAATGATTATTGAAATGTATACAGTTCTGTTTCATATAGGTGTTCCCATAGATCTAGTCTCTTTATGTTCCCCTCAAAATGCACCAGATTGATGCATTTAACTCCAACATTTAAAACAAATCTTACCGGGGGAGCAGGCCCCCGGACCCCCCTAGAGGATTTGAGGTCAACCCCCACTTAAAATCACATGGATAGGTTCCTAAATACATTTACCATTTATAAAAAAAAAAAAAAAAAAAAAAAAAGTATCCCATGTCCATATGTTTATTTGTGGGTAGTAGATTTAAACTATAGGGCTATCACTACGGGCCCTGCCTGTACCTGTTCGCTCTGCCATCGCGTGAAGGGTCTGCTAACAAGCGACCAACAGAAAGGTTCATGTTAATGCTGTTGCACGTCACAAAGGCACATCACCTCAACCCCCCCCCCCCCCCGGTACCACCACCCCCCCAAGTATATTTCAGATCTGTGGGAAACACTGCAGAGTGTTGTGTTAAAGGTTTTTTAAGATGCCTAGCCTACAGGGATCTTTTGCTTTGTTGTGTGCTGTTTCACAAACACCATTTTTAAATGTTATCAGCCGTTTAAATGGTCATTATTAATGGTAATCGCTGCCATTGTAATGCATCAATCAGGCCAAACTGTACCTCGTGAAAATGAAACCAAAGCATTGTTAAACCGCATAAAGCGTGATGTTTTGAACACAAACAAAACAACGTCTTTAGGTTTAGATAACAAAACTGATGTTTAGTTTCTTGAAAGGATTGTGTTTTGGGTCAAAATATCTGCCAAACCAAGTGAAACACATCAACAACACAATGTTGTCCTTCAGCAAACACCAGCTTCCTGGATGAAAGTCATGTGTTTCATGCTATTTTTTGATTTGTATACTCCATCACCTCAACAATGGAGCAGCTCCACCTAGCAATGATCTACTCACACTGAAGTCAAAGCAGGATTTATAGGCTTTTCATGAAGGATTTAAGTACCCTTAATAGAATAAAAGGTCCATACAGCCTCTTTTCCTTTCACTGATTTGATAAAACAAAGAGGGATCTGTTGTGTGTGGTGACCCCTTTTAAATAAACAACATGTGTTGCTTGCTCCTACATCTCTCACACAAACACACATAGCTATACTTAACAAAGGTCTCCTTAAATGATCTTTATCCTCGGATCTAGTTCAGTCTTGTTTGCTTGATGCATCATTTTCCCTTAGTGCAACATCAGGGCTTTTGTTCATTGTGGTGCAGATTATGAAAAATGAGAACAATGGGCAAGGTCCTTCTTACAGTTGCCTCTACTTGTCTTTTCGCAAAAAAATTATTTAAAGTCAAAGATCGGCGCTCACTGGATCCAATGCATTTAACACCGGTTCACACACAAAACAACCAGTGTCAGTGTTTGATTGTTAGGTTATTTATCCGTGGAAATACCCATGAGGGGTTTTTCCAAAGCATCAAACTGATACCAGGTCGGTTAAACGTTGTTACTGCAGGACAGTGAACCACTTAAATGCCAAATTGGCGGCTGTGGCTCAGTGGATAAAGTGCTGGACTTTGAATCAGGGGATAGCAAGTTCGAGTCCCACTGCAGTCAGCATGCAGTTGTGTCCCTGAGACACTTCACCTCATATTGCTCCTGTGGGGATTGTCCACAGTATTGAATGTATGTAAGTCGCTTTGGATAAAAGCGTCTAACAAATGACATGTAATGTAATGTAATGTAATGTAAATGAAAGCAGTGTCTATTAAGCATTTCAATTGTAGGTTTACAGCTTTTTGGATGTTAAACCGTTTGTAGCTGATACATTTTTTTACTGTGCTTCTATGAAGGGGATTCCTTTTTTAAATGCAAGAAGATAAAGAAAGTAAACCTGTCAGGAAGAATACCCTTGATAGTGCTGATTTTGCATAAGACAAAAGAGGCTGTGCAACACAGATAATACTTCAGCAGGAAATATAACGAGACTGTTTTACTATGCTGAGTGAACGTCAAGTTTTCCATGATTATCGTGAGAACAGCTACTTTCAAGACTTCTTAGCTTACTCATATTATCCCTACATTTTGATACATACAACCATCTCTTTAAAATAAAATGTTTTGCTAGTGTCAATTTGGATACTTCCATTAGTGGACCTTCTTGTCGTACACTGTTCTTTCTTATTGAATTTGGACCGGGTGGTGGGGTCTCAAATCGAACATGGTTGCTGTACACTCATTCGAAAATAGTTTTTGTTAAAATCATTACAGAATGCTAAATTGACCAAATAGACAATTTACTTCTAACATCAGTCTAGTTGAACGTAGTGAATGCAATATTTATTGAAGCAATCATAAGGGTCCAAGTTTTTGACATGTACAAGTAAACCACCTGGGTACTCATAGTGCACTGCAATTTCGAGATACAGCAATAATGTTGCTCTCTTTAACATTAGTACCTGAACAATAAATTACTTTAAACTAAGTAAGTAAAAGTTCAGCACCCTAACCCATTTTATTTAGGCACTTGAAACACAATCTTTATCAACCATTCCCAACAAATTGAGTCAAAAGTCTCTTAGCTAAAGCACCGGAAAGCAGGGTCCTCTTAATGTCTCGACCCCGACGTCTCAGCTGCCACGCCACTGTTTGTCACCCTGAATGCCACAAGAGAGCTGGAATAATTTAGTTCACCAACAACAAAAGAGGCACAAAGGGAAAGAGTGAGAGTGTGTGTGAGTGTGTGTCAGGGGGTGGGGGGAAGAAGTGTGTCTGGCTTGCCGTCCTTCAACAATGCAGCTGCCTCCCAATCTGTCCCCCTGTGACGGTGGTATTGTTCTCCACTCCCGAGCAGCGTGCACAGACGGAGGCTGGGGGGCTTTTTAAACCCGTTCACCCCCACACCACACACACACACACACACACACACACACACACACACACACACCAGCCTGGGTCACAGGTTGCCAGACGGAGACTTTGAGGAGTCAGCAGAAATATGAAAGTGACCCAGCGAGTGTGAATGACCTCGTCAGAATCAGACTGTATGCATTATCATCGCAGTCAATATGGCTCTAATTCCTCTGCTCTGACTTTACACAAATATGTAAAATAAGCAAGGTAAAGACAAATATAACATCATATTCGTGGATCTACTCTAGAAGCTCTCCTATGGTGAAAAAAAGCCCAAATAATCAAATATGGAGGACAAAAAGCATCTGCCGTAGTTAATGAAAGTAAATTACATTAAAGCAAATCTCATTTTGGAAAAACAGAAGCTGTTTTCGAACAATTACCACATTATAAAAGTACAATAACATCACTGTTGTGCAATATGTTAAAATGCTGTCCTTAGTTCTTTGTGCACTACCCAATACTGTAACTACAAAGTTGTAATATAACACAGCAAATATAATGCGTATACATTCATCTAGCAGCTATTTCATTACTTCCTACTTATTCACTTCATTTTATATAATGTTGCTGCTTACCCTTTTAGTAATTGGAATGTTAAATAATTATTTGATTCTAAATGTGCATTATTGTTTGCATGCCACTTTACTAAACACTGTCTTCATCAGTAGTGTTTCTTTGCTGTAACAATGTAACATTCCTACTACCTTTTTGTATGTAATACAACCTGAAACGTATTAATGCTCATCATCACTTAAGATTTAGTGAAATATTATTGTCTCTTATTATTTCGCAGTCTTTCCACAGCAAATACTATTTATATTCTCACTGTTTTAGTTCTGTTTTGAGATGTTTATATTGTTTAAATGTTTATTTTCTACTTTACTTTATTTCTTATTATGTGCAATACTTTGTTTTACATGCTGCTGCAACGAAAACATTTCCCAATTTGGGATCAATAAAGTATATCTTATCTTATCTCAATACTATGAAAGTGGCTGCTGTGGAATATTACAGACGTTGCATTTTCTTTTGTGAAGAACATGGATGTTGACACAAAATAGCTTTAGCGAAATGTCACAAATGAACAAACAATTAATGATCTACAAAAACCAACAGAAACCAAACTATTGATACAAAACGATTGATACCAAACTAAATGATATGTTCATTATGGAACGTTTTATAACCATTTGTTGCAATCAAAACTCTTTTTGAAAGAATGACTTTTAGTGTAATTTAATGTACTGACATGTTGGTGATATTGATATATATGGAACTAAAAACAGTTAACCCAAAATAAACTTTATAGGCGAGCATAAAACTGATCACTTTCTCCAGTAAAGACCTGCTTTAAGGGTTTTGCGGTTATATACATCTGCACAGGAAGAAATGATGTACTGTTTGGGAAGATTGTGCTATGAGCTGATTTTGTGGAAATGATTGCTGTACGGACTGACAATCTGATATTAAAAATAACATAGATAACATAAGAAGCCTGTAATCGCTGGTTTATGGTGTTCTCTGCAAATCAAAACTATAAAAATATTGATTTACAAAATTGATTTTCTGTATTTCATTCAATGGCTTTCAATGTCATATATAAAACAGAATAAGTTGCAATTTGACCTGTTTTTGGTTTCAGCAACAAACATTTAGCAACTTTTCTGTTGAACAAAATCGCTCCAACTGGTCGTCATTTATTTGCATAGTAATTCAGATTTGTTGGTTGCAAACTCAACATGACATTTTTAAACGTCCTAATGTTATGATAATAATAGTTCATAAAGATTATTTCAGCTCAGAAAGGCTTCTCAATCTTAGTAAAGGCCGCTACACACCCACCTGAGACCAAAGAACGCGTACCGAAGGCGTCCCGACTTTTACGTCAGCTTCGTCGCCTGCGTCGGCTGCGTCGGCTACGTCGCCCGCTACGCCGCCCGCTACGCCGCCCGCCTACGCCGCCCGCCTACGCCGCCCGCCTACGAACACACCGCAAATACTTCAGTCGACGAGTGGCAATAACTGTCCTTACCAGCAGGCAGCGGTAGTGTGAACAGCAAATCAGAGTGATTGCTTGGGCCGACTTTCTCTGACCTCCCGCGGCCGCGGGAGGCGTCGGGAGGTGTGAAAAGGTGCCGTAAAGAGACGACGGTGCGGGACACACAAACCTGAGTAGGGCGCCGCGAATGCCCCGACTGCCTCTGACGGCCTCTGACGGCCTCTGACTCCCAAAATCAGGCTGGTGTGTCCGGGCCTTAAAAGGTTTTCAAACAATTACCACATTATAAAAGTGGTAATATGTGCAATATGTGCAATATATATATATATATTATGCCGATAATAACTGTGCAACATATACCTGGCTACTAAGTCCTCAGAACTGTTACAGGATGTGTATTTTGTAAATTGTGTAACTTTTTTTATTATAATATTTGTATCTTTAATACTTTTTTTATGCATGCTTCTTAGGTAACATTAAGCTGTCTTTGGCTCTTTTCTGCTGTAACAATGTACATATGTGGGACGAATAAAGGGATTCTGATTCTGATTCCATTTGCCAGGGTTTGGAATCCAAGTCCGTAAGAACATAAGGAAAGAAAAACTCATCTACCAAATAATTTCTCTATAGGTGTGTAAGTGGGTGGGGGGATCTTTCCACAGTGAGCAGATGCTTCGGCCTCCACCTCAGTGACCCAGCCTGCCTGCACTCTGTATCTCAGTATGTGTCATGATGATCCCCGGGTTAGCCCCCATGGGGGAGTGTATGGAGGGATGATCCCCCCCGAGGCAGACCCTGACCGGTCCCTCAGGGCCGACGCATGGCTGCCATTTGCCGGCTGAGCCCGGAGAGCCAGTCTGCCACACAGAGACCGGCTGGGAAGGGGGACAAAGGGGGTGTTCAGGGTGGGGGGGTGGGGCTATATATGGGCAGAGGGGGCAACAGATGCCTCCTGAAACCACAGGGGACCTCCATGAAAGCATCCTCCCCCCCACCTCCTGCAACTGGTGGTGTCCAGATTCAGCCTCAGTGATACATATCACCACTGTCTGTGGGTAGCAGTCACTTTCACATCTCAGCTGTGCAAACTCTCAGTCCCTTACGTCTTGTTTCTACTCCCCTGTTACTGAACCCAGGAGCATATTTCTTCATATTTTGTTCCACAACCATCACTAAATACAATATATCCTTATTGGTTTGGGATTGACACAATCACCACAGTAAAATCCTAACTAAAAACCCACCTGTTCAAATAAGCCTACTCCCTGTAGTGCTCACCATTATCTGTTCCCATCATTTGTGTCCACTTTGATTGTCTCCTCCATGTTTGCCTGTTTGTGTTTTTATCATGTTTTGTTGCAGTATTTATACAATTGTACGGTGTCCTTGGGTGACATGAAAGGCACCCTTAAAAAAAACTAGTACTATTATTATTATTTATTAAATTGGAGTGAAATTGAACTTGTTATTGCATTGTTGGGGACACCCAAGGAATGTCACACAAAGCCTTTCCGTCCACCTCAATTTCACTCGTGAACACACTTTATATATATATATACTTAAAGCTTCCTAAGTGAATGGAGCATAAACTACTTGGTACATTTCATGGCGACACATCCAATAGTTGAGATTTCATTCTAGAAGTTGTAGACGAACGGGCATTGCTACCATCTGTTAGCATAGCTTAAACATACTATGCTTTTATTAGAGGCTTAGTGTGTCTATACATACATGTTTGAGTGTTTTCTTAATATGGAGATTTGAAACTTTTAACATGTAAAACAGATTTAAGAAAGACCATCACAACTTTTACAGTTTCTTTGGCTGGCTAACTCTTTGCAGTTGTTGAGATTTGATAAATGTTATGCTGGAAGTTGTAGACGGATGGACATTGCTATCTGTTAGCATTGCTAAAACATACTATTCTTTAATTAGGCTTTGCGTTTCTATAAATGTAACTGTTTTAGTGTTATCTTAATGTAAAGATTTGCAACTGTTAACATGTAAAACTGATTTAAACTAGAGAAAATAACTCAACCATCAGAATAACTTTTACAGTTTATTTGTCTGGCTAACTCTTTGCAGCATTTTGGTCATATATGGTCAAAATACTACAACTTATGATAAAACATGATAAGGGTGCTTTCAGTATTCCTTAATATGCAAAACTGAGGTAAACCCAGGGCAAAAGCACAGGGAAATAAAAAACACTTACCTCACAGCTCCAAGAAAACAGAAACGCAGCAAAACAGGGCAACAACTCCTACAAATTCTTTCCAGCAACGGTACCTTTGGTCATTCCAACAGTAAAGCACAAAGTCAAAAATAACTTCAGGGGGAGTTTCCCAATAATGGTGGTTGTAAATTAAGCCCAAAATTCCTTATTCATGCAAAATCTCAGTATCCAATCTCCAGTATCCAGTACTTAAAGAGTTGGAGAAAGTAAAGCTTTGATTCAATCCAAGAGTCTGAGCAAAATTAGTTTCCTGGTAGCAGCAATCCTATGAGAACAGCCTTGTTTTTGGTTGAGAAGCAGAGTGCAATGTCCTGAGGCGGCAGGTTAAGCAGTGTGACTGACAAACAGATGGAGTGTAAAGCATCTAGCAGCTTCCTCCTCCTCCTCACACTGGGTCTGCCTCCTGACCAATAGGAAGGCAGAGATCTGACCACAGACACATACGTCTCACTTTTCCTGTCTTCACTGTCGATTCTGTACACACACACACTCACACACACCAATCACCCCTCTCTCCACCAATAGAAAGGGACACTAAGATAAGCAAGGATATCTCCTCCCCCCACCCAAAACTTCACAGACACACACACACACACACACACACACACACACACACACACACACACACACACACACACCACCAGCCCATCCGCCGGCTTGAGCCATGAATGGACGAGAAGGCGTGAGTTGACAATGGTGGGGAGGGGGACACAAAGGAGGACCCTCGGCGGGCAGCTGCACACACTCTCCATGCTCAGGGCCATTACACACACACATGCACGCACGCACACACACACACACAAACACACGCACAAATACAGATACATGAGGAGAAAGAGCGAATGAAAAAAAAAACATAGGACCGAGGACTGAGCCCTGTGGAACACCTGGCCCGCTGGGGACGGCTGCCGCTCCGACCTCTTTGTTTCACGGTTGGGGGATTGGCTTGACTCAGACAATGAAACGAATTATGTTAAAAGTAGTGTGTGTGTGTGTGTGTGTGTGTGTGTGTGTGTGTGTGTGTGTGTGTGTGTGTGTGTGTGTGTGTGTGTGTGTGTGTGTGTGTGTGTGTGTGTGTGTGTGTGTGTGTGTGTGTGTGTGTGTGTGTGTGTGTGTGTGTGGTGTGTGTGTGTGTGTGTGTGTGTGTGTGTGTGTGTGTGGTGTGTGTGTGTGTGTGTGTGTGTGTGTGTGTGTGTGTGTGTGTGTGTGTGTGTGTGTGTTCATATGTCTGACGGAAAGTTAGCAGGTGGAGTAGGAAGCTGTGAAGGGTAAAAGCCTTGAAACTAACGAGGTGCAGTAAAGGAAAAGAGTAGGAAAAGGAGTTAAAAAAGAGAGGGGAAGGCTTTATTGTTCCGACACAGGCCTGACAAAATGGCGGGGTCTTTTCAAAGGCCTCAGATTGTGAGGAGGGGTATTACTTAAAGGCTCAGAGTAAGTCAGATACAAAGACTCACTGCCTGTCAGGCTGGACTTAAACAGGTCCAGCAACCAGGCTATTTTAACTTCAGAAAGGAGGAGGTTTATTATTTTTCCTACCTCTGCCAATGGAACAAAACATGACTTACCCTTTATAGAAAAGGGTGTGAATACATGCCAAAACAAGCTGTCAAGAAGAAATCAAATCCTTGTGCAATAAGCGAGAAATGCCTTAATATAATACGATTATACAACAAGTAAATCATAGAGCATTACTTTAGTAAAAAAAGGGCAATAGTATATTTCAGAATAAATTATCATTATGTCAAAGTAAGAATAAGTGCCTTTCTGAGGCGACAGCAGCTCTGTGAAGCAGTGCTTTGAGAATTGTTAAGTACTGAAAGCAGGCATCAGTTTTATAGTCTTTGTTTATATTTTATTTTCATGATTTACATTAAATGTTTGCTAGTTTACTTATTGCAAAGTTCTTGGACAGCTTCTTGTTTTAGATTAAACTAAATGACTTTCTTGGAGTTTAATCTCAATTTCAATGTCAAGATACCCAACCATAATTCGACCTTTTGTAGTTTACAGTTTGAACATTTACTAGCTTCTTCCTGTCTTAAGTGATTTCTGTAATGGTTCCAGTTAAGACAATTTGGGTAAAATGTTTTCACAGCCGTGCCGTCACAGTCTGAATGAAAGGGGATTTGTGGGACGTATACCATTCAAAATGAAAATCTTTAAATGTCACCTATGTTACCGAAAGTCCTTCACAGTTTGCGGGACCTGTTGGAGCATCATGCACAGTATACGACTTGATATATCCAGCCCCTAAGCCAGGGGTGTCAAACTCAAGGCCCATGGGCCAAGTCCGGCCCGTGACTTCATGTTATGTGGCCCCACAAGAGCTTGCAAAGAATATAATATGTTTATTATACGGTTACACGCCGATTTACAGAAGCACATTGCCTATAAACTACATGTCCCACAATGCATCTCAAATGTGACTTTTTTCTCAGAATTTGACTTTTTTTTTTTTTTAGATATGCCTCTTTTTGTTACGTTTTTTCAAAATGTTTTTCCAGAATTTGGCTTGTCTTTTGAAATCATTTTGTGACATTCTCACTGAAGAGACTTGCAGTTATTTGCCCTAGACTTCTGCTTTCAGACGTAGTTAATTATGAAGTTATACCCTATCCGATAATAATCCAATGCAGAGGCAATAATGTAAGATAATGCATTATTTTATATATATTAAATATTTATATATGTATTTTTATATAGCTTAAAGTTACAACCGGCCCTTTGAGTGCAACCATAATGCTGATGTGGCCCGCGATTAAATTGAGCTTGACACACCTGCCCTAAGCCATTTTCAATATTTGTGCCTTTACTTTCTGTTCCCTTCAGTGTGCATGTGTGTGTGTTTAGTCTTAATCCACAATATTTATCCATCCATAGTTGAGCCATTAATTACGGTGAAGTTCATTGAAATTGAATATGCAAATGTGCCTTCTTTCTTTTTTCTCAGTTTTATTACAAAGCCAGACCTGTTCTGGCTTAGTTTACCCAACACGCCTGCAGCGGTATTTAAACGTATCCTTTTTTACTGTCTTCAGCATCATTTAGAAGTTTGTTAACACTGATGTTTTAGAGTAGGCTCAAGCTGATTTTAACCTGATAAAAAATTGATTATTGGTAAATCCTGTGGTATTTGTTAAATTAGACAGAATGGAAATGTTGTCATGCGATGTAGACATCCTTGCTCAAAACTGTAGGTTACATAAAGAAAATCTCCATGTTTTTTTGGAAAAGGTTTGCTCATCTTTTTGAAATGAGACCCGTAACTGACAGTCAGGAAGGTATATTTATTAATATCAGGTCAGACATCCTGCTTTAATTATCTGCTATGTTTACCAATTCCATTTAAAAAATAGTGCATTGCATTTCACATAATTAAGTCAAATCTTTTTTTTAAATGCAGTAGCACTTACACAAGGTGAGTTCCTTTTTTATTTCCTGCTTCTTCACACACATGCTCTCCAGTACAGGTTAGCTCTGAGTGTTAGCGATGCTAATGTAAACACCGACCATATTACGTCCAAAACAGTCGGGCATTGTTTCTGATAGCAACGTTTCTGATAGTGCTGTGGGTCTGCATTGCCGATATTACGTCATATCGGACGCAAATCTGGATGAGCTCCGTTGTACCCCCGTTTTTAGAGATTTGGGTACGGAGGAAAAGAGAGAGGGTTTTATTTTCTGACGCTGCGTGAGTTCCCTGGGACTTCCCATGGGTATATTGCAGAAAATAAGCTTTCCAGCAAACGTTTATGATACTGATCACTGTTTGTTCCGCAGGATAATCTCCACATATTCACAGCACTTCTTGATTTTTAAATGCAATCAGTAGAAATAAAAAGCTAACGTTATGCTATAAAAAAAACGACATCACGGTCTCATGGCTGCTTATCACCACCATTTAGCTAACGGCGGTTATTGTTCAGCATTTAAGTTTGGTAGAATATCCAGTCATTTGTTAGCAACCACTGCTACATATGACCTATGAAGAATCAGACATTCACCACTGGGGTGTTTACTATTTACTCTTTGGATTGTTTTAACCACAGACCTTATTTCAGGCTTCTACCCTCCAAAGAAACATTGACTTCGAGACGAGAGAAGCAGAAGTGGTAAAAGGCTAAGTCATTTCCGGGTTTTAGGAATCAATGCACCACTCTATTACAATGCAGAGATGGCAAAAGTACACACATCCTTTACTCAAGTAGAAGTACAGATACTCGCGTTTGAAAATACTCTGGTAAAAGTAGAAGTACTGACTAAACTTCTTTACTCAAGTAAAAGTAAAGAAGTATGGGCTTTGAAATGTACTTCAGTAAAAAGTACCCATAACTAGCAGCTGTTTTAAAGAGTACCTGACCTCCCTTTATATTAATAGAACAATAATGTCATTGTTAGCTAATGAATGTTTCCATGCTGAACAACGGCAACATGACAACGTTTTCATTGGTCCCTCTTCTTTAGAGAAGACCAGGAAATGATGGATACACGGATCGTGTTCAAATCAATAGGCACGCAATGACTCTAAATAATAATGATCACGCCACCAAACACACATTCAAACTAAAGGAACCAGCCTGTTTGGAAAATGTAAGAAGTAGAAAGTACAGGTATTTGTGTTCAAAATGTAAGAAGTCAAAGTAAAAAGTCGTCAGAAGAATAAGTAGTGGAGTAAAGTACTGATACCAGAAAAATCTACCTAAGTACAGTAAGGAAGTATTTGTACTCCTCCCACCTCTATTACAATAACAAGTGACTTAGTTTATCACCTTACAGTCATTTTATTAAGATAGATTTTGCTCTCTGCTCCCCCTCCCCCCTGACTTGCAGTGACTCTTTAATTGGGGCTCAGCTGACAGTTTTCCCCTCGGGGAGCAGGAGCCTGTGCACCATCTGCTCGTGCAGCGGGATGAACAGGTGTCCTGCTCCCTGCCGACGGCTGCACCTTACCCAGCCTGTGGACGCAGAGAAGCTGCTGTTTACACAAGATAAACCGGAGTGATTCTCTTTGACCTGTGTGGCTCTCCTACGTCCAACAAAAGACGAGACATATGGAAGT